ACTTTTATGTTCATGTGAAACAAAGCACAAAAGATTCTCAACCCTTTAACTTGTACCAATTTTGATATGAAAGCAGCATTTCCCAGGCAAGCAGGGATTCTGCATTTGACTTCACTACTACGTGCTTTTGGCTTTGATTTTTTTGACAGTTAAACCTCTTCCCAAAATTCTAAATTTTTTTCTTATTTTAATATTATGAAATAATACAGAAGAAAACCAGTTCATCTCCCTTGAAGAGGATAGACAGCAACTTCGGAACAAATTCTCTTGGTGAATTTTTCTTATTTTTTATTGTCTATACCACAGAAGAGAACAACTGTTTCTACTGTGCTATTCAGTGTCCTTTATTCTTGCTGCTGGTCAATTCATTGTTTTAATTTGTTGATGCTCTGGCAAACTCTCAAGTATGTCATGGGAGAATTTTAAAAATGCAGCATTCATTTAGAAGTCACACAGTGGTGATATATATACAGAGCTTCAATTTAAACCATTATTGCATACCATCCTTTTCCTTTTGTAATAATCCATTAAATGCTTTCAAGTATGGAGAAGGAATAGCAACCTGTAGATCTGAATGGAGCCCAGATGACCTATAAAATGAATCCTGCCTCACTGCCTGACTAGTTCCAGCTCTTTTCTCTAATGGTTACTATTGTTATTCTACCATCCAGACAACCACACACATCAATTATACATTCTTCTGGGTCACAAATTCATTTTCTTAGGCAACATTTTTATCTTATTGCATGATGCTTTTTCTTCAACCTGTGACCAAAGTTGAAGGTCTCAATATTAAAAGGATATTAGTTTTTCTTAAACTGTGTTGATAATTGGAGAAACAGCTTCATGGAAATCAGAAAGTGCAGCTTGTTGAACTATTTAGAAGTGTGTGTTTAGACCATATATTGTCTCTTTATTACAGGAAATGTATTAGGCAGTGCTTTGTGTTTTATGTGAACATTTTGTCTTTTGTTCTATTGGTGCTGGCAGCACAGCTATAATTAAATGTCTTTTGCCTTCTTTATTTTATGACACTTACAATTCAGTCATCTTAATTGGACTTTCCTAAGAATATAAATGGCTGGCTCAAGAAGCAAACTTTTTTTCAGTGAAGTAAACTCAAAACCTTTCACTATGCACTCAGTGACTTTTTTAGAGTCTTTGACTTACGTGTGGTCTTTTTTTAAATGATTGTGATGGCAAAAGCTTCAGATAACTCTGTTTGAAGTAAGCCTAAGACAGCTCTCCAAATGAATTTTTTTGCCTATATAATTCTCATAAACAAAGCACTCATTTCCAAATGGGTAAAGTAATTTCAATTTCCTGGTTGACAAAATAAATAGTTGGGGGAAGGTAACACATCGCTTCCAAGGGATTCTTACACATCATGTTTATCCTTAAAACTCAAGAAAGTGAGAAATTCAGGGTAACATCAGGACATGAAGCCCAGGCCTCAGCTTTGCCCAGCCACAGGGGCCAATGGCAGCCCATCAAAAGCCAGCAGCAGAGCCCCACCAGTATTCCCAGAGGCTGGAGGAACATACCCAATGCACGATCACATACTGGAGGGCAGAGGATGTGCCTCAAGGAGGTTGCTTCTAGCCAGGGGATACTTACACCAGAGCTGCCATCAGAACAGCCCAACAGGTTCCAGACCAAGTCAGCGGAACAACCTCTGCAGCAAAACCATTGCATTTCTGTCATTTTCAAACTCTAGTCTCAGCAGCCTTCCCATCACAGACGCAGTTTTGCTGGCTACAAGATTAGGCTCCTCTCCTATTGCCACTTAGAGCACCCCAACAAAATCATGACATGTTTAAGTGATGCAAATTGACCTACTGAAAATTATATTTGAGGTAGTCAGTGAATCTTGTAGGTGGATAAGTAACTCCACAACCAAGGACACCATGAAAATATCCTTCCACTGGCAGACACAAGCACCTGCCAAACTGGAAGAAATCTACAGATAACTACAGAGAAACAAAAATTGCTTTGTTTGTGTATATATGTACACATCAGTAGGCACAAACCTGAACAGAAACCTGCTGGCTTTTCATCTACTGTTTCCTCCATCCATAGGCAGCTTTCTCAGGACAGTGTTGCAGTCAGAGGCTTGTGCACAGTTACCCCAGTCTGGTCCAGAAGCATTCTCAGTCCCTGTTGCCATCCTCATTGGGCAGGTCCAGCTTAATTGCCATGCAAAAAGCAGCTCTTCCCTTTGAAGACCCACAACCAGGGGTGTGGCATCATCAGACAAAAGCTTTAAAAAGTATTTTTATGTTCACTTCATTCCTTTCTGGAGTTTAGGAGTAGCAGGGGGAATAATTTCTGAAGCTGGCACAGAAAACCTTGTCCTTTTCAAGCCTACATAGGCATGGGATGCATTATTTTAACTCGCTTGTCTTCTTGTCCTGGTTCCGCCTTCCCCTGATCAGCCAGAGTAGTCACATCTCTTTAAGGACATCAACGTAGAGAATTTGCAAAGGGTTTTACTCCATGTTCAAATTTAGTGTTTTCAGGACAAGCCAATATTCAGCATCCAGAACCTGCATTTTCCATGCTGCAAACTTCAAGAGAGTCTTCAGGTGTTAGGAGAGACAAAAGTATGGTAATGGAGCCAATTTCAGGCACGTTATAACCACACCATGAGGACCAGGTTAATTGCTAGTTTCCCATTCCTTTCACCCAATGCTTCTGAGGAGGGAGGTAGCCTTACAGGAGAGCTGAAGCTGAAGGGGTGACCATAGCTCTGCACTCCTGCATTTCACCTGATCACCAGCTTTGGGCCTTTAAAGCAGCCAGTGAGAACCATTTAGCTGAATCCTATTCAGATCCAGGAAAACTGAGAAATAAATATTATTTTAGCATTGAAGTTTCTGGTTGGCTGGTTGGTTTGTTTGTTTGCAGAGGCAAGAGGGTGTGCTAGGTTTAACTTTATTATAACTAAGCCTATATAAATGCAAATACTGTTTTCATAGATATAATTTCATAAAGCAAAACTACCCACAATCTTTAGCAGTGAAATTCAAGTGGCAACTGTGACAAGCAAAGAAAAATGAATGCAGTTAACTTCAGCCATCCCTGCTCATCTGAAAGCTTGTGTCAGTTCCTAAATAAGCTTTTCATTTTCCCTATTCAGTCTGCTGATCTTTGTTGATTTACAGCATGAATGAGCATGGCACATTGCAACTTGTAGAGTATATTTTTTCTAAATAATAAAACATTTATTGCAGACCCATCAAGCCTGCTACTAGCTTTGAATTATTATTGCAATGAAGTGCCATGTTAACAACTCATTTACATTGTTGCAGAAGACTCTGTGTTAACACTATATGTAATTTAATCCCTTTCAGGAGAGACATCTCCCTAAAATACATCTAGAGCTGATAAATTACAACTTGATGTTATTTTCCTAATCAACTGTTTTCCAAGTTGAGGTTGCCTTCATCAAGTCCATCCCACCCTGTACCTTCCACACTGGGCCTAGGGTGGCTGAGCAAACCATTTCCACACGGTCTTCCCCTAAGCAAGCTCTAGCCTCAGGTTGTTCCTCAGTCAAAACAAGAAGAAAGTATATTTAGTAGATAGCAGCAAAGATCTTATTGCTTTGGGAAGGAAAGGATTGGTTGGGCAGAGAGGGAGGTCAGTATTTTGGAGGATCTTTGAAGGGTCTGACTTACGGCTTCAGCATTGGCCCAGAGTGGGTAACAGCCACCAGAGGCACAAGAAGCACAAGCTGCCTCTAGAAGCATCAGTGCTGAGGCAGCTGCTGTGCTTGGAAGGAGACCCCAGTGGCAGGGCAATGCCTAACATGACCACTCACCCCTGCTGCATGAGCCCAGAGAGAAGGGAAATATCACAGAAGACACTTCTGCTGGAGCACTCACATGTTTTGGGTGATATAATAATAATTATTATAATAATAATAAATTATTAACAAATGAGGGAAAAAATACCCCAGGAAGCATATAATTCTCTAAGTAGCAATCAGATATGATCCTATCTGTGCATGTTATCTATTTTAATTTCCAAAAACTTTGGGTTCAGTTGGGCTTTTTTTCCCTAGTGCTCCAGGTTGCATACTGAGTTTATTCACTTCAAAAAGCCTCCTACTTCAGTTCCATTTCAATCTGCTTTCAGGGACTGACTATAAGCCAGCAACATGCACAATTTCATCCTAAACTAAACAAGCCGGAGCCTCTGTCCTACCACCAAGTTGCCTCATTTAATCCAGCCACAGGAGCCAAATGTCACACACACATGCACTACTTCCAACACACACGTACCTGCTCTCCTAACAAGCATTGATGGGAGAGAGGCTGCAAGAAAGCAGTAGTCACATGGCAAGAACTGCCAAATGGGCCCCACTAGTTAGAGAAATATTCCTGCATGCAAAATCACATTGCTGTTATTCAGCTAAAGTTGCATGGCTGAAAATATACAACCATAAAACCCACATCCTACCACCTAATGGCATTAATTATGTTAATTTAACATGATTTGAATGTCCCTTTCACATGAATATGCTTATTCTGCTTTATTTCAAATAAATTACCCAGTTAGAAAAATTATTTGAACAGTAAGGCACAAATAAGTGAGCATTATTGTTTTCTAGTTGACTAGATAAGGAATTAAACATCTAGAGGTGAAGTGGAGGACAATTAATGTACTACCCTGCTTAATTATCATACAATGCCCACTTCTCAGGGAATTAGAGCTATTATGATCTACTCCTACGAATAAATGAGAATTTCACCTCTCAGAGGGTAATGCAATAGTTTTGGAAATAATATTTTTATGAGATTCTGGCTTTATCAGTTATGTTTTAGAGTCACTATAAACACTTCTGTATCATAGAAGAACAACTTCAGACAGGCTTGGAATTTTAATTTTTGTTCTCATATTTTTTTAGTTTACTTTTTTTATGGTCTTATTCTAGAAACCAAAGGAAAAAATGGTTTGCTTTTTCAAATCGTCTCTTTTCATAAAACATTACCAGAACATTAATATTCAAATAGAAATATAAATAGTGATTTAAGCAATACAAATTATGCATAAATTGTTTTCCAGTGCAACAGAACACCCAGAAAAAGTAGTCCTGATGATGCTCAATGGTGCCAATACATTGGAAGGTAAGTCAATCACAGCTTCAAAGACAAGGAAAGGACATTTCTTTTAAAATTTCACATGATGCTGTAAGGCATTTTTATATAAAAATATTCTTTACTGGACATTTAGTCACAAATTCTTTGAATCTTTATCAACAGAATTGCTGATTTACTCTAAAGCTGCCAAGTTTCAGAGTTTCTTAGTCACCTTTCCAGCAGACAAAACAAACCTAAATATATGAAAGTTTTAAAGCAGCCTGACCACAAAAGAAAGCTTTAGGAGACCCAAATAGTGGACCATATGTGATATCAAATGGGCAAGCCATTAGCATCAGCTGTGAACATATTGTACCAACTGGGAATGAAAATAAAACATTCAACTACCAACTGTTATAATCTGTAAATAGTCAAACCAATTCCTCTGGGTTCCAAAAATATATGAATAGGGTGACTCATTGGGGGCCATTGTCCTGTTCATAGGTAATGCAGCAGATTTCCTCCTAAGGAAAAAAAAAAAAAGAAACTGTGGTTAGTGAGATCTGATATTAGCAAGAGTCCTTGTATGTTAAAAGACTCTTGGGCTTTTTGAAACTATATCTAAAGATATTTTAAGGATAACAAAACAGAGAATTCTTTTGAAGCAACTTTTCTCTGTACAATGTGAAATATTAAAAAAAAAATTATTCCCATTGCAAATTATGCTGAGAAACCAGCAGAATACTAGAAAATTTATAGAGGGCACCAAACTGCTGAGAATTCATTGTACAGCTGGCAAGTGCACTCCTACCTACTAGTTGCTTCACATTTAATAATGCATGTTATGAACAGATGGATAGAATGTCAATAAGGCTCTCTGTATCATCAGTGGTAATGAAATACTGGACTTTGAATGCTTAATAGCACAGAAAACAAAAAGCCTAGAGGAAATTTGTCAATGTCATGCATGCAATACTTCAGCAGTGCTTTAACACTGTTAGTGTGAGGCCATATGTTTCTTCTAACAGGATCTACTGTAGCTGGGTGCCAAAAAAAGTTTGACACTTTTTTTTTAACTCCTACAACATGTTAAGAGCAAATACCCCGTGAATCAGTCAAGCAGAGTAGTCAGCAGAAGTGTAATATCATTACTCTTTTTATTCCATTTCTCAATGAAAAGAAGTTAAGGGAAACTTGCTAGTAAACACTGTTCTTTATATCTCTTTTAGAAATACAATTAAAAGCAATCTCTTTACAATTAAATATAAAAATAAAGGCACTAACACGTCTTTATTAGGCAATTAATCTCATTGTCAAAAGCTGTGGAAAATGTGAATCTGGAAAATATTGCAAGTATAAGTGAAGCAGAAAACATACATAGCATCATCTAAAAATTAGACATAGAAAAAGGAATAAAATAAAAATTCTCTTAGTCAAATAATCTTAGGCAAATGTCAGCTAAAAGATCTAGGAAAATGCTTTGAAATTGTCAAAATGAAGAGGATAGCAGAAAGTGGCCATTCTGAGATGCAGACCTGGGAATAAGCATAAGGCTTTCTCTGTGAAACTGGAAGAGAAACAGCAGCCTGGCAGGTAGTAGCACCTACAAAGGCTGCAAGGGCACCCAGAGTGGTGTTTCCACCCTTCACACTTCTCAGGAAAACTCAGGATTTCAGCAAGTGTCAGACAGCTGTGGCAGGTAAGCCCTCTGTGAAACATGGTGATCTCAAGTTTAGCAGTACAGCTGGAATCCCAAGCACGTGAAGTCAGCAGGAATCAATGTGAATTTAACTATTGATTCTGGGAGAACAATTAGACAAGCACTGGGTCTTTAACAGTCTGAAAAATCCTCAGGAAAACTCAAGTGCTTTGAGCAGAAAACCAATACTTTCTGCCTTGTGAGTAGCCCACAAGTGACCAAACTCCCTACTATGCCCTCCTTCCCCACACTGTCTTCCCAGAAGCCTTCTGGGCTGCTCCAGTGCTACCTTGTCATGATGCCCTCAGGTGGATACCATGCTTGCCAGCTAGGACACCCAAAAGTGTCCACATTGATTTCAAAGCCACCACACGAGGCCATTGTGGGACAGGATCTCTACCACCACTAGATCCAGCTGTGAAAATATTCATTGTGTTCAAGAGTAATTAGAGAAGTTTGACAGACAGCATTTCCTTAGAAAACCAAGCTAGAAATACCAGCTGAATGCCATGCAAGCCGTTCCCCTTTTCTGCAAGCCAGAACTAACACTCATCACTAATAATAACAATGTAAATTGCGTTAAAAACAAAGCAAATTTTTTTAGCTGCCTACGCTGATGTAGCACCAGTATCCACCAGCACACAGCGGGAGACTGCAACTGCTTCCTTCTGTGGCAGGGCAAGGACGCACAGAGAAGCAGAGCCTGTCTCTTGGTGCCAGTAATGCATCGACTTGCCTGTGCTCTCATCTGTAACAGGCTGCACCCTCTTCTGCAACCCTGAACTATGCAAATATGAGACTTGTCCACATTAGCAAGTCCACCTGAAAACTCATTACAGCTGTCTGCATTTCTCTGCATGGACATATTTTAATTTCTCCTGAATAAGTAGCTAAAATTCAGCCCAGGACTTCCAAATCAGACCTCAGACTTGAGTAGGGCATCATCCTCCTTCTCTTGCCTTCTATTTCCCAGGAAATATTCTGAGCCCTGACCACAACAGTTACACCTAACAAGAATGAAGTGAAGTTTGTGCAAGCTGCAGAAATACAAAGACTAAGAAGTATGCAGGCTTTCTGCAAAGTAGAGCACCAAGAGGTGAGAGATTAAGTAACAGTTGGGAATTCCCATTTACAATGGTCAGAAGAACTGTGCATTTAGAATTAGAAAGAAAGCAAAGGGACTTTTCTCAAATAATTGATGAAAATAGGCTACTCATCAGATTTCTCTTAGCTAGAATGTCCTATGGTTTTTGGACCCTGAGAAAAAGAACCTGAAGATGCAGTGGTGAGCATCTTATTGTGGTATGGTTTGATTGTAAATGTAGTACTCAGCCTAGAAGGTCTTAAGTGGGTTTTTCAAAACCAAACCCATATTGATAAACTGAAGAAAGTTTCAAGAACAACTTCTTAAGGGAAAAATATAATAATCTATAAATATTTGAAGTGTGTAAAGTCAACAAGGGAAAAGGATATAACTAGAAATAATGGAAAGAAAAAGCTTAAGCTCAATAGAGTATCGGGAAAATCTTCCTGACAGTGAGATGTATTAGCCTGTGAAATAGTCTCCTAAGGAGAGATATGGAAGGTTTCACTTGGGATTTTAAAAACTAAAGTTGACATAACACTAAAAAATGTTCTCAATGAAATAATCCTACTCTGGCAGAAAAAAACAGACAGGATGATCTATTATGTCTTTTCTAAGTTTCTTTAGCCTTTGACGCTTTGGGAACACATCTTCAACAGCCAAAGGTTATCAGAAAGGAACTTCTTCAATTAATATGATGAACAACAAGATTACAAAGGTGATCATTGTGAAAGCCTCTCTTTAAATGCTGAAAAGCAGATACTTTTCAGATAATAGAAGTTTTTTCCCCGAGACCTGACAAATATGACCTCAATCCACCAGTTTTAAAGTACATGCTTAATTTTAAGTATGTCCTTATTTCCCATTAATTTAAAGAGAACCCAAACCTACAGGCTGAAAAAAACTTGTAAGAAACAGGCCTCTCAAGAGGCTTTGAAAATTTCCACACTCCCTATACAGACCTGTAAATTGCCACGTATAACAAAATTTAAACAAACAATAATATTTATTACATATGTACTAGCACCTTTCAAGTCTCCACTGACAAGGACAGGCTATGTTAGTTCAGAGCTACTATCTTGATCACTGATCAAAACCACACATCTTCCTGCACTAATTCCTCTTTAGTTTAATCCACCTGACACTGTGAACAGTGTTAATGAATATTACAGTCTGCCATACTGACTTGTGCACTACAAAAAAAAGATGCTACCTGGCAGTGCTGGTGGAGGAGGGCACAGAACTTGTGCCCCAGAGCTGTGCTACATCAGAGCATCACCATAGCCATGCTGGCATCTCTATGGACATGGTCCCTGGGCAGAAATTACTGGCACTGCCACACAACATGTGAATGAATGAAAAGACAGGGTTTGGCTTCCCTTATGGAAAGACCTGAGATACTTAGCAAGAATAAATCAATAGGGATAAGCAGACATTATTCCAAGCACTTGGAGACTGAATTAGAAAATATTAGCCCATCAGAAGGTTTAAGGAATCCTATTAGTAATACAGCAGAAATACAACTTCTTATTAAACACTCAGATATCAAGAAGTTGTGAACTATTTCCTCTAGGAACATTACTGAGGGTAAATCAAGGCTGATTCAGAAGGAACTCTCCATTTATGGGCTTTAAATAACAACATGCTATTTTTATAATTCAAAAAATTTACCCTGTACATCCAGGGATATATAACTTAAGAATGTAAAATATCAAATATCTTGCCATCCAAAAGTTGCATTTGCAAATATTAAGTGACTCTACAGCACAGGTGCCCCTCACTGTCTTAGTTATATTTCAAGTCTTTCATCTCCCGCCACCAGGATTTTATCCCAAAATAACTCCCTAGTTTGGCAGAAACACAAAACATCTGCACTGTCAGTCACAGAAGTTTCTTGTAAGCAGAGAGAGTGGGGGGGAGGAGGAGGAGAAGGATTTACTCATGGTCTACTCTCCCACCCATCCTGCTGTTCCTTGGGCAGTCGAGTACCCCACCACCCTCCACAGGGACCACTGCTCCCCTTCCTCCCTCCACCTGGCCCTTTCCTACCTTTTTTCTCCTCACATCCTCTTATCTTTCCCTCTTATTATAAGACTTTTCACAGGCATTTTTATTATTATTATTTTTATCTGAGTTTTACAGCTGGCACATCATCCCCTGCTGCACTAAATCAACACTTGTGAAAGCAGCAGCCTTCGAGTGACTGAGTAGAGCTGCTGCTTGCAGAAGTGTCAATTTGGTACAGCAGGGGTTGGGGTCGCAGCTGCAGAAGAAGAGAGGCCCTATTTTATGCCTCAAAATAGTAAAAATGTCAGAGGGGAGGGAAATCTGTACAAAATATAAAAAAGGTATGCAACAAAGAAAGAAGAGGAAAAGGAAGAAAAGGATTTGGAAAGGAGGAAGAAAGAGAAGAATGACACTGCACAATGGAACAAAATCACTACTAAATAAGACAGGATTTTTTTAAGTGGGCTCTTCCAAGTTAAAAAAAAGTCATGTGCATATCATAAAAATTAAACTTGATGATAGTATCCTTCCACTTTCAGGAGGAAAGTCTGGCTCATTAAACTTAAATTACAGTCTTAACTATATGTGATAGATCAAGATGTGCTTCTAAGCACAAATGCTGGGCATTCAAAGATTATTTCACAAAGGGTTTGATTTGAAGTGGAAATTTCAAGCAGAAGATTAAGAATTCTGTGTTCATAAATTTGAATCAGCAAAAGTGAACTGAAATTCCATGTTCTGGAGTAAACTTGGGCACCTCTAATCCCCCTCCCTTGCACTGCTGTTATGCTTTGACAGACCACAGAATCCCAGGTGGAGCAGAGATAGGATTCCTCAAAAAGCAACACTCTCCTTCAGAATTTGCCTCCCTCAAGTTTCTCCCCAGTCCTCTCAGCAAAGTGTGTGTGATGTGCAGAATTTTTTGCATCTAGGAATACAGAAACCTGCTGCTGGGTCAGCTCTGAGTACAGAGAAGGCTTAGAAAAGCAGAGGTCCCACCATTTAATCAGCAGCTTATCAAGAACCACAAGCATCTCAGCTTAATTGAAATGCTGTGCTTGGGAATCCATCCTGCTCCCTTTTAAACCATGAGCAAAGCTCTCATAAGTCTCCAAAGTTTTGTTCTCTGGGTCATTCTATATATATCTAAGCAATCTCATTTTCTGTCTCCACTGCTTTTCCTTGACAATGTCACTAATCCAGATATTGGATGAAAAGAAAAAAAAAGTTCAATAAACAAGCAGAGAGAACTAAAAATCAGAACCCAAATACAGAGATTTTGAAAGGAAAACATATAGACCAGATATTCCCTAAGACAATTCAGCTGTGCTACACTGTTGAAGAGACAAGGCAAGCTGGTCTCATGAACTTTACCCAAAAGTTTCAACAATTTCTCTTTAAAACATTCACTGAGAGTTCATCAATTATCCAGTCCAATATTTAACCCACTTTGACAACAGCAGGACTTGGTTTATAAGTCTCACAGTCATTGCTTGGGATGCAGATCGTACGTACCTGCAGAGCTCCCTCCTCTTGCGTTTCAGTTTTCAGTGAGGTGGGTCTTAGATGTCCTGCTGCCCATTACCTGCTCTGCCAGGGTGGATACATAACCACCATATGCCTTTCTCCATCCTCTGAGCTCCTCGTCCCTAAACTGTCAGAAAACAAAGAATTTTTGCCTGGTCAGAGCCAGGGAAGGTGAGCCAGCAGGTGACACCCAGTGCAGCCATCTTCTGCAAGCTCTCCTCCCATGAGCATCCTGAAAGGTACACTTGGCTATACCAGCAGATAGGCAGCAAGTCCCTTTGCTCCCCAGAAGTTAAATATAGCCATGTGGCCTTGGCAGACCCCAACGCAGTTCGATGCCTGGCACCCATTCAGACTCCAAGTATTTATAATACTTGCAGCTCCAATGATTCCCCTGGGTATTCCAGCAGTCCTTCAGCCAGACAGTCTTTAAACAGCTGAAATTCTTCAGATTTGTCATGAGGATTTTAAGGCACTTTTATATCACTAGCAATAGGCATGGCAGGGCACAGGTGCACTGTGAGTACATGTTTTGGGGCTCATATGGCAGTGCGGTAGAGATTTCCCCAGCTCTCCCACCCTCAGACACTGTGACTCAGGCACATTTGTACATGATAACCCAAAGGAGCCCTTCATCAAGACTATACTTCTCCATTTTAGGGCTTGTTTTCTTTCTACTTGCACTGTGTGGCTTGATTCAACACACAACCTGCTGTAACACCTCTCTCCTCCTGTTCTGGCCTTATCTGGCTCCTACACTATTCATCATATGAACTTTTAACGTACTCCATCAAAAGGCAGATAACGAAAGACACAGATTCTGCCCCAAGGAAAAATCCAGCATGGATACATGAAAGAATGAAGAGTGTCATCTCTTCAGCTGGTCTTGGAATACAACATTAGTAATTTTTCAAAGACTTTTTGGAAAGAGCATATTTGCACAACAGATTTCAAATGTGGTCTCAAAATTTAAACATTTTTTCACAAGAATTCATTACTCCCCTTTCATCCGCTCCTTTTTGCAAAGTAAGTTGTACAGCCCTTCAGCTCCTATCACTATTCTGTTGCCCAACCAGCAGTCATCACTCTTTATTGATACTCCTGTTTGACTCCATGCTTCATGTTCCTGAAAGGAAACAACCGTTCTTTTCTTCTCAATTTGTTAAATTAAAACATAAACATAACAAAAGGCCACAAACCTCTTCAACCAGGTTGATACTGAAGTCAATATTCAACAATGACTACTAGCTTAAGTAAGTGGCATTGTTTTTCTCTAGTGGTTAGACTAACAACACAAATAGCAGACTAATTATGAAATAAAAAACTGCTTTGTTCAGTTAATAGAGCCATTAGGTGCTAAAGTAGCCACATTTAGGTTCTAGCAAGATAAAGTTATGTCATCTCACTCTATTATATTAACATATTGATTTACCATTCTAATTGCACAGCATTCTTCAGACTTCTTCTAACCCTACATAAAAAGGCCCCCAGATCAAGTACAGTTTTTAAGTAAGTTACAGCTCAGCCTATATAAAACATATAATATGCAGAAACAAGAGCAAAAGATGGCTCCCTGTGCAAGTTAGGTAGTTCATCAAGTCAAATACATCTTATCAAAGCCTAGTTCTTGCAGCAATCCCAAATGTAACTGAAAAATTCTCCATTAACAAATTTAAAGGCACGAGAGTGACATTAGGCAAATTAATAATTATCAAACAAATCTATGCCCTTTTCATTCACCTTCCTCAGTTGGTAGGTATTCACTTAACTCAGTGCGTACATCAAATTACAAGAATGACTCAGACCATCTTCAGAAAGTGTTTGCACAGTATGAACAGTGGGACTGCCAAAGACAGAGAGCTATTCTCTTCCTGCCAAATTCCTTGTCTTTTACAAAATCTATAGTGTTTCCATTAAAAGTCCTGCAGTAAGAACTTCTCAGCTACTCCTCAACATTAAACGTGCTTTCAGGATGGAAAAAAAAAACAAAGAAAGAAAGGAAGAAGCAAGGAAATAATCTTTTCCTCTGATCTTTACAGAAATCAGCTATTCAGTGTAAAGCTCTACTTCTTTAAAATGGGCATAATGTTCTGCTGTCACTAATTCTTTCTTCAGTTCACATGTTTTAATTCCCTTGAACAAGGGGCAAAATACCACTGTCTTTTCAGCAGCAAGAGTCAGTTCAACTATTCCTGGTCCCCTACGGCTGAAGTTTTGCTCTAGAGCTGCTCTTGTACTGTGTCACTCTGAATTAACAGCCGATAGATAAGAGACTTTTCATAATGTTGAAAGATGAACCATGGTTAAACAAGGACTCAAACACTTCAGTAATTCCTCCTTTGAATGGGATGCAATAACAACTGCTCTGTCAAAAGGTCTCGTGCTGGTAATTGTGTTTGGTGGCACTTACTTACATTGGTGACAAACATCGGTTTCACTTATCATGACAAATGACAGCTGCTAGTCATGGTGTTTATGGCACACAGATGCCATACGGGTAGGCACAGTATAACACAATCCAAACAGAGCAGAAAAAACACATTTTGGCTTTGGGCAAAATCAGTGTGTCCTGCTAACAGAATAGATCAAGATAAGAAAACATGGCTGAGCTAATAATATACTGTGTGACAGTAGTTCCTGCTAATGCTGCCATGGTTGAACTTCTAGTTTGCTTTCTACAAGTCTGTATTACAGCTCAGAAAAAAAACCAGTAGCAAGCAGCCAGAAATTTCCTCCTATGAGAAAACTTTCCTCTATTAAAAAAACCCAAACTAATATACTCCAAAAAGATTCATAAATCTGAATTTTTGTAACACTGGTTGAATTCCAGGAATTTTTGAAGTAATTGATTTTTTTTTAAATTGGAATTTATAACCTTAAATACTGAAATGAGCAGGTACTACAAGTAAAATATTAAGGAATAACCATATTTTACACCTTTATCTGTGATTATCTATTTCAAAGTAGCCCAAATTGCATACATATAGGCAAGAGTACACTTACAGTTACAGACTACCACAGTACATTTCCCACTCTTGGTATTTAACTTGTGAGGACTGACACAGGTCATTGTGCTATGTGGGGTGGCAGTAAGAGTTTGGAGGACACCTTAAAGCTCGGTTTTCTGGGCAAAGGATGTCAGCAAAGGGCCACCTGAAGCTGTGCCCATCCCACAGTGCCTTCTGGCCCTGCTCTCCCACCAGCCTTACCGCTCTCTGCTTCCACACCCATCAGCACAGCTGTTCTCCAGACTGCTCTACAGAGCAGAACTGATCTGCCTTTTAACCAAAACCAGAGAGTTTTTTACCAGCTCCTGCTCCTCACCAGCCCAAGTCCATGGTAGGGCACAGCCAGCTGCAATAGTCTCAGATGCTGCATTGTCCCATAAACATTTCTGGGTTATTTCTAAAATGCTCTCAAGCACAAAGAGGGGGAAAAACATTAATATCAATTAATTCTTAGCATAATGACAGTTGTTAAAGTGGAACAAATATTTATTTTCTAACAAGTGTGTTGTTATGGAAACAGCTGCAAGACGCTGTTTGCTCCAAGGGCTGTGCCAAGGCTTAGCACTGCGAGGCACCCCGGGCTTTGGCAGCACAGCCCTGCAGTGCTGGGCTAGAGCTGGGCAGCCCTTGGCACTCAGCAACAGCAGCACCCAACTGGAGGTTTGCACGTGTTGACACAGGTTGCCAGTGAAGAGAACGGGGAAAGCAGCACTAAACCGCAGAAATTTACGCTAGAGCAGTTCTGACCTACTTTGTAAGTAGCAAGCTATCTCATTAATTTGCTCAAAATAGCAGATCATTCTGTATGAAGAGATGAAAAACAAAATCCATCATTTCCACTGCAGGGAAAAATTCCAAAATGAGACAACTCAGTGCTTGTCACTGCACCTGTATTTTCTTTGCCCAGGTAATAAACAGATGACCAGTAGATATTTAGTTACGCACATGTGCGACAAAAATAACTAAAACCAGCAACCCTCTGAAGCTGCACATGGGAGAGGCTGCTGCCTCCAAAGGCCCCCACTCCAGCTTAGAGCTGAGCGAAGCAGTCCTTGTCCCACACCCCACAGGATCCCCTCTCAGTGAAGGGCTGTACAGCAATATTTGGTGACTTATAAAAGGGATGTTTATCCAGGTCTACAAGTGTTTTTCCTCTTAAAGCTTGTGTGTCCTTATAAAACTTAAATAGACTTGGTAAAAAAACAAACAAGAAAATCCAATAAACACTAACCCTATAACTTTCTCATTTTGCTCTTAAAAATCATTCCTTGATCTTTTCTGTATGATTAAAAATTGGTTTGGCTCTGTAAGTGCAATTAATTTTGTTTTCAGGTTTACATTATTACTGTATCCATATATTAAACAGACGGTGTGCACACACGTGAGCATGTTCAGATAGTATTCTGATGGAAATGTGGGAGAATTCCTTTAAAAAAAAAAATCAATATTTCATTCCAATTATAAAAGAAACCAAATCTTCAAACATTGGAGTACAATGTAGCTACCCTAGAGAACAGACATTTGGTTTTCTGACCAGCAGTAACAGTTCATAATTGAACAGCTGCAGAAGAGAGGAAACAAACATACCAACAAATTACTTTTCAAGCCTATGTTCACAGAAAATTTTCTACTCTACTGTGCTTTGATCACAACGTGATAAACAGGGTTCCTCCCTCCCTTCTCTGATATCCTACAAAACAAATTAGAATGGTCCGTAGAAGTTTAACCTGTTATACTGCATAATCCCTCATTCACAGGAGCAAATTAGGAACATAGTACAAGTATTTCAAGAACTGAAATCTACTCACAACTGTTACGAGTGTTAAAGCCCAAGTATTAATTCACTTATTAAACAGGTACCATCCTTTTTCAAAAATTTTTACTGTGTTCTCCTTAAAGAATGGTACCTTTTCTTGTGGTTTGTTATGGTTTTGATTGTTTTTTTTTAAACTGTCTTAGTCATTATTAGCATTGTAAACAAGGTATCAGTCAAAAGGACAAGCCAAAATTTTACTCATACCTATTTTAAAAGTAGAAATCCTATTTCTATATTTTCAGACAGAATGGAAGAATACATCATAAAATATGCATTTAGTTCATATATGTGTATGTGCACCTATGTATATTGGTATAGTATTCTACTGCTGAAGTCATAAATGTTTTAATGCATCGACTGTGTTTGTTCATTTCACATTTTCAGGCAAGGAAGAAAAAGAAGGTTCTTTACTGCAGTACAAAGAAAGATGTTCTAATACCAAAAGATGCAATTAAAATAATAGGGCCATTTATTTCAGTAGAATTTCACACATACAAGAGAAATGCTAACCCTTGGGAGAATGTTTTCAGCTCATTTAACAATATGTGTTTCCTTCGATACGAAAACTTTAGCTTTTGCATTATAACATCATTGCTAACAAGGCACATGTATATATCTCGTAAGTAGATGGAAACGCGGATGTGGGAAGAATTATAACAGTTCTTTATCCATATTGCACTCATCTCAGGATATACTTGCATCTGTTTTGTACTCACACTGGGTAGCTTTTTCCTCCACACATTTAAAATACACACTCAAGAAAGACTCTGTACTCTGAAAGCCAATAAGAAGACTAGTAAAGAACTAAGAGAGACCAGTCAGGGAAAAAGCTATGAAGGGAAACAAAAAGGAAGAATTTGTATTCCAGCTCCAGGACTACTAAAACATTTTAAAGCGTAGCTGGCATACAGCTCTTTTCCACCAGCCAAAAAAAGCCGATCTGCTCCCAGAGCACAGTGTGGCCTGGGTTACTGCCTCAGGCAGCCAGGCGGGTCAGAGCTGTGCAGGTGCCAGCAGTTCCCTGGCTTCTGGCTACCAAAGTGAAATCTGCAACTCAGGAGACGCAGTCCTCATGGCAGGGATCTGGGCAGAGGAGTCTTGATGGCTATGAAATACAAGGGCAAAAAATTACTGGGTCATTAGAAGTTTACTTCACGTTTTTGTTTACCTGGAAAAAAATTCTAATTGGAGATGAGCTTTCCCAGATACAACTGGTTTTATGAGTCAAAGATATTCAGGACTGGGATCTGATGTAGTGGACCATTTGTAACATCTGGGCATTTTAATGTTGGAATAAACACATGTTATGCATTTTCCTGTTTCTACTAGCATCTAATTTTCTCCATTTGCAACAGAAAGTTCAAAATGGACCAGTCAGGTCATTAATGTGGGAAGATTTATTTTTGTAGATCACCTTCCACTGCCTGTCAGCACACAAATGTTTCCACCTAACATGAGGATAAATGTAAAACTAAGATTTGAAACACTAAACCCCTAAATGAATTTAGGCAATAATCTCAAATTACAGATACAGTCCTACAGTCAAAATGTCAAAATTATGTCCAACCAATTCAGGATGGAAACATGAATGATGTGATTAAGCATTTCATAAAGCATACATAAGGGACAGATCTCTAGGAAGAAGTAGGTCTCTGAATACTTTTTTCCTGCAATATAGTACTTGTAAGTCTAGAACTAAAACTTGCACATGCCTTGTATATTTGATTGACTCCATAAGGTTTTCATCTAAATTCAAAATATAACTGTGTTTAGATATATCTGAACATTTTATTGCATTTAGTTATGAGATATGAATTTTTCCTGAGAGAACCTAGGGCACACAACATTGCCAGATCATTCCAAACAAGTTAATTCTGAAATGGGCTTGAATCAATAACACAAAAGAGGCAGTAAAGCCAATTTTTACGGTAGTCATGGTTGCATAAAATAATATCAAGACAGTCAGATTGTAAGCTCCCTGCATCACAAATATAATTTGCAACCAACTCTAAGCATAAAGAGGAAATAGATAGATAGACAGAAGATATAGATAAAAACAAATGATAGATAGATAGGACAAAAGGAACAGGAGTAAAGAAAGAATGCAGAGCAGTTGCCATCCAAGACAGCATGAAAAAACAAACAAGTATGCCGTGTAAGTAATTCAAGGTAAATAGAATGCTTTTCTTTCATTTAGGCTTTAAAATTGTTATGAAAAGGCTTTCTTTTCACTCTATCTGTAAGACATAGACAGACAGGGGATGAATGTATAAATAAGTATGTCACTGCAATACTTGGCCTTTAATGAAAATGGATTTTTAATGATCCCAAAAGCTACATTTCTCTCTGACTTGCTCCATTTCCAGACTATCAGCATGAAGTACACACAGCAAATGCACTTGTTTTCCATGTCCTTCACTAAATCCCAGGACAACCAATCGTCCAAGCACTGTAAAAAACAGAGTCACCATTATGCAGAGCAGATACAGAGAAGCTGCACGTCCTTCATTGTTTTTACTGGACTTCCAGAGCTCCGTGACACTGCTGTGCCTTCTCCCACAGCAGACCCCAGTGGGGGTTACCTTGCACTACATATGCATAAATAAAGGCTGATGCGTGGCAATGTGCCTTCCTGTTGTTCTGCCTCAAGGACACTTGTTAAAAGTGTGCTGTTCCTCCCGCTCCCCCAAGCAGCCACATTGTGTTGAAGTGCTCCATGTGAAACTCTGAGCACACAAATACCAGAGGATTTAGTCCACAAATGAAGAAAAGTCACAAGGGGGAAAGAGGCTGATGCAATCCATATCCTTCTTGCTGTCTGAACACAAAGAATTCTTCTTTCCAAGGTCAAAGTTCCCCTTTCAGTCAGCAATAAACAGAAATCGCACTGAAAAATGCATAATAACGTACCAGCTAGCATAAATAATATTTTTTTCCTGTTTGTTCATGTTTAGACTTGCATTATCAGAGAATAAAGGGATATTTTCCTTACTTTATCGCCATTCATGAAGTTTTATCTACAAATATTTCTTGTGAGGGAGGTCCATAGATTGGGAAAGTGTAATATCACTGTCATAAAACTAAGGTAGCATTTAAAATGGGGTGGGACTCATGTATTCACTTCATGTTCAACACTTCACAGGTAAGCTTTAAGCAACATATGTTACTTGGAGAAAAAAATCTCGATGTTTATTTCCCGTGTTAGCATTTTTACTTCTTCTTTGAAATATTAGAAGACCCAGAAGGAATCCAAAACAAGAATACAGATGAAAAAGATTATGACTGTGAGGTGCCACAGAATCAGTTAACAAATGCTCCCAGAGTCAGAGGCTGCAACCTTACAAAGTGCATGATATCTGCATCCCCTAAAAAAAAAAAAAAATCCTATTTGTAGGGCACTGCCAAACTCATAGGTTTTTTTCCATTTTGTCTGCTCTCCTTACTCAGAGTGCCTGCCAATTAATATTTACCAAATGTCTCTCCCCTCTTCGTTTAAATCAGTTCAAAAACTGCACCTGTTTCATGAGACCTATGTGAGCTTCTGACAGCTGGTATTTGAGAAAAAACAAGCCAAAGTACTTAAAAATCTTAACTAACTGCATTAAACGAGAGTAGAGAAAGACAGTGCTAAGATTAGCTCAGCTAGTACAAGATATCAGCAAAGTACATGGGGGGTACCCCAGGGACACAGGAGAGACATTTATGGCGCACAGCCTGGGAAGGATACCACATGTACAGACAGGAGCACAGAGGTGCTATTGGACAAATGACAAGTTTCCAGACCCTCTGCACAGGTTCCCTGTTCCAGGCCAGTGCACGGCCCCAGAGCAGCAAGTGCCATCTCCCCAGCTGTGTTTGGGAAGGATGTACAGGATGGGCACTGACTGCTGCCCAAGACACTGGGCCACAGCACAGGCGCTGCACGGGGCCGCTGCAACCAGGCAGAGACAGGTGAGGGGCATGGGCCAGACCTGCAGCACTCTATAGCTCATACAAATTAACTTCTGACATATTGCTGTCCGGCTAAGGACACAATTCAAAGAACATATAACCTTAAAGACCTTTTCATGTGTTATTTTCAACAGTGTTATTTAAATTGTATCACTTGTATTTGTTATTAAAATTAAAATGCACCCCTGTATTAAAATGCACCCCTTTCTCACTAATACAGTGTTTTAATAGTTATGCTCACACATTTCAAAATCCCCATTCAGTGTTAATCAACACCAAAATTCTCATGAACTTAAGCATGGGGTTAATTGCAGATGCTGACAGGTGACATGTTCTATCTGTTTTACACATATTTCAGAGAATGCAAGTTAGACAATGTTTAATCAATCTAAGTTTAAAGTTTATTTCCACTGATCTGAACTGCTTTTGAATGTGAAAGACAAGTCAACCAAACTAAGAGAAACAAGCTACCACAGACAATACCATCTAACTACATCTAAAGGCTGTCAGAAGTCTTAACTTTTTCTTCATCCACCACTTACGAGAAGGAATCCCTTAGGGTAAGGAACATCACTGTTTCTGCCTGGATCACATACACTCTCTTTATTCTTTCATTCTTCCAATCTTTCTCACTCTTCACATTGCCTCTAATCTCTGCTTTTCCTATCTCTTGGGTGCATTCCTGCAGCAAGGATATAGCAAGGGTGGCTCAGCCATTGCACCAGCTGGTCACCCCTGCAACACTAGAGTAAGTGCAGCATCAGTCACGTGTCATCACAGGCAAAACTCATTCTTGTTCTACTTTTGAAGTACACACAAATCATTTTCAGCCCAAAATCCAGTTTTTCTTCCCACCCTCAGAACTCTTGCTAAACTTCAAAATTAATTTCTCAAATGAATTTTTCAGCCAAGAGTGGTTTTTTCCTTCTTTATTTTTCCATATATGGATTGTTGGAGAAAGAATTATCTTCAAATGCCTACAGTTTTTAGTCCCCAGCAGTTAGCTCAGTGATGACTAGTTCAGTCTTTTTGCAGTCTCTGATTATATTAAGCACAGGCATATATGCTACTGACATCCACATCCCAAATATAAAGGAATGCCAGCAATTTCAAATTAAATCAGTTTTCTTTTTTGCTAGGTAGATGTTATTACCAGTGTTAATGCACCTCTTCAGTGCCTGATCCTGGTTTAAAAAATTTTAATATCTCCTTTTTATTTTCAAAATGCTTCTTTTCCTCCTGTTGCTGTGAACTCTTATTAAATGCTTTCAAAGCTAAACAAGGTATCAAAAAGAAAATGTTTCCTCCTACCTTTCATCTATACTTGTCTTTGAAATTATGTGAATATATTGGGTGTACATCTGGGCATTTTTGAAAAAGAATATTTAGACAAAAATATGACTTGAAATTTTTCACAACCTTTAAAACATTGCTCCCATAAATATATGTAAAACCAGTCTCATTTAAGTCCTGAAAACATGCTGCAGTACAACCTACCTAAATAACACTTTAGAGAAAATACAGATGAATATCTGGATTTCCAGCTGCAGCAAGGCAAAAGACCTCAAAATCATAATTCAAGGAATCCTTACTAGTTCTTGGGGTTTTTCTAATACTTCCTTAAGAGGTTGACACAGTGCTAGTTATGTCCATAAATAAGATATTTTTATTACAATCTAACAAAAATCAAGACTGTAACAGTGATTCATTTTTTTTAATAACCTCAGTGCTTCAAGACTTCCGATCCTAATGGAGCAATCACACATCACCATTGTTTTCCAACAGAACTATTAGGCTCTGTGCTGTGCTAGTGTAATTGCAGTCTAATGGTTTACACTATCATAATAGCACTAAATATTTTACTAAACAGTACAGTATCTAAAAAGTGATTTAAATTGTTCCAGCTTTAAGATCGTACATCCAAGAAAAAAAGATCTGTTCCTTTCTCTCTGAATTGAGAGTTACAAAGGTGTCAAAATTAGTATCTTGTTTCTTCATCTTCTTAACAAATTGGTTAAAATGTAATATTAGAAGCAGAGATCAAAAATTACACCATAAAAGGACCTACTAAAATATGAAAAGTATTAAAATATTTTGAGAAATTCTAATGCTCTGATTTAGCAGACTAGCATGGTTCAAATTGTCAGATTAACAGGGGATATAGAATTACTCTGTTCAGAATCTAATTTAATTTTTTAATAATTTCAGAATTTCTGATTATTTACTTCAATAAAACTTTTAATAAACATCCCACACCATGTAAAGGTAGCATATCATAACAAATTATCTAAACAGGTCTACATTTGTGATAAAAAACACCAACAAAGCTGCTGAGATGCTAGCAAACCCCAGAAGTGCTTCCTTCCCAAAAAGCCACTACTCAGCTTGACCAGCTTTGCAATGACTACAAATAGTGATGTTACATGCCAGTAACCTTCTGAGGACCTAAGTGTGTAGATAATTTACATGGTCAGAACATTCTTACTCACAGAAATAACTCAATGAACTAAGTCAGACTGCTTATGTAATGAGGGACTATTAACACAAATAAGGGTTTGCTAAATCTTGCCATTAACATACAGTGGTAGCCCTAAATGCATCCTAAATGCTGCCTTACTCCCTTGAACAAAGCCAAAAATATCTGTAACTCCAGAAGGGGCCCTGAAGTTAATACTAGAAGTATTCAAAGCTTCTAAAATTGCCTAAAGTTGTAAAGATGGTACTTTCCCTTTCTAACATTGAGCAGGTCCTTAACCAAGCTTTGCTCAGGCACAGAAGCATCTTTCCAGCAGCAAACACTCCCACAGGGCTCAGTATCTCCACTACACTAAAAAAAAAAAAAAACCAAAAAAACCCAAACATTTTCTAAGGGAAAATATTACTTAAACCAAACTTCTCCAATAAAGCATCAATTTTGCCAAAGAACACCAAAACTGCACTTTGGGCTTTTGTTCTCATTTAAATTAGGAAGTATTTTTTAAAAATACAGACGCAAAACAACAGAGTAGAAAATACATTCTCTAAAGATCTCTGAAAGGATTTATTGAGGCAGTATAGAGACCTAACCTATTACTCTTAGATAATTACCTTACACAGTATTCTAATTTCATGGAGAAGTTTAATTTTAATTTACAGTTTAATTGTCCTACTTAAGGTAAGCCTGTCACCTGTGTCACTTTGTGTCTCATAATTGTAATCCTCATTTAATTATTTACTTCGAGGGAGCATTTTAATTATGGATATTACTATGTGTCTAAAGTAACTTATACTCAAGGGTAGTGAAAATTTATACAGAAGAGTGCTCACCTAATTTCCACTGGCCATAACTCTCTGTGCATGTCTCAGCTGCAGAGGCTACTTACGAGACTGCTGAGCGATGTTCTTTACCCTCTCTGGACCAGACCCCATCTGGGATGCCTGAAAATAGGCAGGACCACCAGTGCACAAATAGCTTGGATTAAGATTAGCAATGACTGCAAGGCTCTCAGCTCAAATATAAATGAGACGGTAACAACTTCTCAACATCTACATTTGGCCCTGCAAATAATCTCTGGACAGAGGAGCAGGCATATGGTATTGGCTCCAAGGTGAGGCCAACACTGTGCCTCATTTCTGTGGTGATCTGTGATGGAGGTGCAGTGGTCAAGAGAGAGGAACAGAGCATGAGCCTTCCTCTGATTTATTTCTTCAGATTTGAGCAATATGTCAATTATGGGTTTTCCTAAGATAGAGTCTGGCTATCAGATATTTTTTTTTCAAGAGCCATCAGCTGACCAATATTCTAGGAAATTATCTCA